TATATATATACTGTATATATGCTTCACTAAGCCAAGCTTTAATTAAGGCCGCTCTGGCTCTGGAACCAGTCACCTCAAGAGGGGTTGGACACTCTTCCACTCTGGAGTTGCCCATGCTAAGAGGTGCCGAGCAGGAGTGGGCATATTTATTGCCCCCATCTCGGTGCCTGTACGTTGGGGTTCACCCCGGTGAATGAGAGGGTAGCTTCCCTCCACCTACGGGTGGGGGTACGGGTCCTAACTGTTGTTTGTGCCTATGCACCTAACAGCAGTTCAGATTACCCACCCTTTCTGGAGTCCTTGGAGGGGGTGCTGGAGAGCGCTCCTAACGGGGACTCCCTCGTTCTGCTGGGGGACTTCAGCGCTCACTTGGGTAATGACAGTGAGATATGGAGAGGCGTGGTTGGGAGGAACGACACCCCCAACCTGAACCCGAGCGGTGTTTTGTTATTGGACTTCTGTGCTCGTCATGGATTGTCCATAACAAACACTATGTTAAAGCATAAGGGTGTCCATATGTGCTCTTGATACCAGGACACCCTAGGCCGCAGTTCGATGATCGACTTTGTTGTTATTTCATCTGATCTGCGGCCACATGTTTTGGACACTCGGGTGAAGAGAGGGGTGGAGCTGTCAACTGACCACTACCTGGTGATGGGTTGGCTCTGTTGGTGGGGGAGGATGCCGGTCAGTCCTGGCTGACCCAAACATATAGTGATGGTCTGCTGGGAATGTCTGTCAGAGTCTCCTGTCAAACGGAGCTTCAACTCACACCTCCGGGGGAACTTTGAACACGTTCCGGGGGAGGTGGGGGACATTGAGTCCAAGTGGGCCATGTTCCATGCCTCCATTGTCGAGGTGGCTTACCTGAGCTATGGCCGTAAGGTTGTCAGTGCCTGTGTGGCGGCAACCCTCGAACCCGCTGGTAGACACTGGCGGTGAGGGATGCTGTCAGGCTGAAGAAGGAGTCCTATCGGGTCTTTTTGGCCGGTGGGACTCCGGAAACAGCCGATAGTTATCGGCAGTCCAAGCGGATTGCAGCTCGGGTGGTCGCTGCGGCAAAAACTTGGGCATGGGAGGAGTTCAGAGAGGCCATGGAAAAATATTTCCATACGGCTTCGAGATTATCCTAGTCTACCGTCCGGCGTCTCAGGGGGGAAAGCGGTTCGCCACCAACACTATTTATGGTGGGGATGGTGCGCTGCTGACCTCAACTCGGGACGTTGTGGGTCAGTGGGCAGAATACTTCGAAGACCTCCTCAATCCTACGACACATCTTCCCATGAGGAAGCAGAGACTGAGGACCCTGGGTTGGGCTCTCCAATCTCTGGCGCCAAGGTCAGCAAGGTGGTTAAAAAGCTCCTTAGTGACAGGGCACCGGGGGTGGATGAGGTTCGCCCAGAGTTCCTTAAGGCTCTGGAAGTTGGGGAGTTGCATTGGTTGATGCGTGGACATCGGGGGCAGTTCCCCTGGATTAGCAGACCGGGGTGTTGGTCCCCCTATTTAAAAAGGGGACCGTAGAGTGTGTTACAACTATAGGGGGATCACACTTCTGAGCCTCCCTGGTAAGATCTATTTGGGGGTTCTGGAGAGGAGGGTCCGTCAGATAGTCGAATCTTGGATTCAGGAAGAGCAGTGTGGTTTTCATCCTGGTCGTGGAAGAGCAGACCAGCTCTAAACCCTTAGCAGGGTCCTTGGAGGGTGCATGGGAGTTCGCCCAACCAGTCTACATGTGTTTTGTGGATTTGGAGAAGGCGTTCGACCGTGTCCCTCGGGGATACCTGTCGGGGGTACTCAGGGAGTATGGGGTACCAGGCCCATTGATACACACTGTTAGGTCCCTGTATGACCGGTGCCAGAGCTCGGTCCGCATTGCCGGTAGTAAGTCGGACTCGTTTCCGGTGAGAGTTGGACTCCGCCAAGGTTGCCCTTTGTCACCGATTCTGTTCATAACTTTTATGGACAGAATTTCTAGGCGCAGCCAAGGTGTTGAGGGGATCTTTTTTTTTAACTCTTAAGGACAGAATTTCTAGGCGCAGCCAAGGTGTTGAGGGGATCCTTTTTGGTGACCTTAGGATCACATCCCTGCTTTTTGGCAAATGATGTGGTCCTATTGGCTTCATCAGATCGTGATCTCCGGCTCTCGCTGGAGCGGTTTGCAGCCGAGTGTGAAGCAGCCGGAATGAGGATCAGTGCCTCTAAATCAAAGACCATGATCTTGAGCCAGAAACAGGTAGCGTGCCGCCTCTGGGTGGGGGAGGAGGTCCTTCCCCAAGTGGAGGAGTTCAAGTATCTTGGGGTCTTGTTAACGAATGAGGGAAGAATGGAGCAGGAGATTGACAGGCGGGATTGGTGCTGCGTCTGAAGTGATGCGGGGGCTGTACCGGTCTGTCGTGGTGAAGCGTAAGCTGAGCCAGAAGTCAAAGCTCTCGGTTTACCAGTCAGTCTACGTTCCTACCCTCATCTATGGTAGTGACCGAAAGAACGAGATGGTGGATACAAGCATCTAAAATGAGTTTCCTTTGCAGGGCCTCTGGGCTCTCCCTTAGAGATAGGGTGAGAAGCTCAGTCATCTGGGAGGCACTCGGAGTAGTCGCTGCTCCTCCACATCGAGAGGAGCCAGTTGAAGTGGCTCGGGCATCTGGTTAGGATGCCTCTTGGATGCCTCCCTGGTGAGGTGTTCTGGGCATGTCCCACTGGGAGGAGGCCCAGAGGAAGACCCAGGACATGCTGGAGGGACTATGTTTCTCGGCTGACCTGGGAACACCTTGGGATTCCCCCGGACGAGCTGGCCCAAGTGGCTGGGGAGAGGGAAGTCTGGGTCTCTCTGCTTAGGCTGCTGCCCCGCAACCCGACCCTGGATAAGCGGCAGAAAAAGGACGGACGGGCGGACATAAATACAAGCAATCAGAGATTAATATGCATGAATCAAACACAACTGGTTCAGTAATTTTACTTTGATTTCACCAGGTTCATCAGCAAGTGTGTTAACCCTTCATAATATAATTGTATTTGTCATAAAATAAGCTAATTACTGCAGAAGCTGAAATTTTTTAAAAAATTGATTACCTGATTAATCAACAGAATAATCAATAGATTAATCGATTACTAAAACAATCATTAGCTGCAGCTCTATTGTTTCCAGTTATACATTGGGAAAACAAAGCAACCACAGTTCAAAATGATGACCCAACACAGAAGAAAAATATCATCAGGCCAGGAGTCTGCAGTTTACACTCATCTACAGGCCAGGACACTGCAGTTTACATTCATCTACAGGCCAGCGGGCACTCTTTTAAGCATAAAGATGTTCTCATCATTGATAAAGTCGAACGTTGGTTGAAGAGAGTAAAGGAAGCCTATTTTGTGGAGAAACTATCCATCATTAAACAGAGGTAGAGGTGTTACCAGACCAGAGAGGATACATAATCCTACCAGTGAGTCCTGGGTCTTCCCTGGGGCCTCCTACCAGTGGGACGTGCCAAGAACACCTCTTAAGGGAGATGTCCAGGAGGCATCCTATTGGAAACACCTCAACTGACTCCTTTCAATGTGGAGGAGCAGCGGCTTTATTCCAAGCTCCCCCAGTCTGACAGAGCTCCTCCCCCCCTCTCTAAGACAACTGTCTGTTGCTTCATGATGCAGCATGTCAGTCTGTTTCAATCTGAAGTACATATCTAAAAAAGGCAAATAAATCAATTATGAAGCTATGAAATGTGAGTTGGAAATACCAAGATGGGAATTCCTTAAATTGCAAAACTACTGAAAATGGTTTTTCAAAAGAATAATTTCACCAGTATGCTGATTTTTGAAATTTTAAAAGATGATTCATGCCTCATGACCATAGATGAGACAATGTAGAGAATGTAGACAAGCCAATAAATCAAAAAGCTTTACCTTTCGACTCAGCTCTTTCTTCACCACGACCGACCGAAGCAACGCCCTCATTACTGAGGATGAAGCCCCAATCCGTCGATTCATCTCCTGCTTCATCGTACCATCACTCAATAACAATACACCATGAAACTTAAACTTCTCCATTTGAGTTAGAGACTTCCCCCCTGATTCAGAGGGGGCATCCTTTTTCCGGTCGAGAACCATGGCCTCAGACTTAGAGGAACTGACTTTCATCCCAGCCACTTTACCTGAAACTCCTCAGACTAAAAAAGTTTCTTGGAGGAGACAAAACATTTCACTAAAGAAGAACCTGCAGAATTAGATTTGTAATATTATACTTGTGTGTTCTCATTCATGCTCAGTCATAGTTTGCCATGCCCACTTGTCATGCCTTCACAGACGTTTGTTGTTCTGGTTTGTTAGTTTTGTCTAAATATTCCCCAGGATTTGGATTTTGTTATGATTCTGCATGGTTCACTATGTGTAAGTCTTGGTGCCGCAATGGAGTTAATCCCCAAAAGTTCTGTAATATGTTTGCTGCCTCATCAGCATGTTGTGTTTTTCTAAATAAATTAGTTTTGTTTTTTGGAACATCCAAACTCAGGACCATCAGTCTGCACTTTGGGTATCTAACAGCAACCACTAACCATGACAGATACAACTACATCTGTGAAATGTCTGAGAGTGAATAACCTTGATTGTAAAAGACCAATCAAGTTTTTGCCTGTGTGTGTGTGTTTCATCTTAGCAAACCTTCAAGAACCACTCGATGGACTTGAATAAAATTTCAAGAAATGTTTAGTAGCTATACATCAAGATAAAAAACTTGTCTTCTCAAGGTCAAAACAGGACATTTTGAATAAAATGTCTTAAAGGCTCAGACACATTAAAACACATCAAAGAACAAGTCCCACATTAAATTCCAACACCCCATACCATATAAAATACCTACAAAACTACCTACACATAAAACCCATACACAGGTAATCAACATATGCATGTTTGGTGAATAACAATACCCAGAGTACCAACTGAGACACAAGAGACCACTGGGTGAATGTTGGTACCTGTGATGGATCCGCAGCATGAGATAACAGGGCGAGTATCTAATTATTGATTGTAAATACTGAATGCAACAAGTCAGATTTATTTTACTTGGTTTTCTTCTAACAGGCTTGGAGAGAGAGAGGACTGGAGGATTCTAGGGGGAGCTGTCAAACCAAGGAGACCACGTGAGTTGTGTAGTCATTGGGAGAGTGCCCTGTGTGGACTGGGAGGCTGGATGGTTGGATGTTTTGCTGATAGTTTTGGCTCTAGTTGTAGGTTGTTAGTTCCAAAGAGCGAGGTCCAAGGTAACCACGAAGGATGTCGACCATTCTGAAGGGTGGAACAGATTCAGGAAGCGAGAGACTGAGGTGAGTACTAGATGTCAAAAAAATTCACAGGTTAGTAATCGCTTGAGGGTTTACCAGGAGCCACTAGGGCCAGACACGGTACCTTATCATTGACAATGTTCCAGCAAAGTGTGAGGGCTCCAGCCAGCCTTGAATACCAGAGGCACCTCATTAGGAAACAAGCCACAGCTGCTGGCACTTGGCTCCACCCTGCTGCTCAGGACCTACAAAGGAACAGTTAATGAAGGCAAACAACCTGAATCTCCTATAACCATATAAGGCTGGTTGCAGTAATAATAAGAGTTTTGATGTTTTATTTTTATTTTTTTAAATTCTTTTTCTTTTTTTGCCAGGAATACTCTAACATGGTTACCTGAAGCTAAGTTAAAGCACAATCCCCTAGTTAAAATGACTGGTGTAGGGGGTGTGAAGGGTCTCTGGTCATATAGCTTGCTGTTCTTCATAATGCCCAGCTGTACAGTTCTGTGAGATGCGTTTGAAGGGTATTGATAATTCTAGTGAATTTTTCTTTTTTCTTTAAGGAAATTGTACCATAACAAGATGTTGAATGTAAGAACTGGCTTGATGAATGACCGGCACACTATAATTAAACTGTCCTGTTTGACCTTGAAAAACTTTAACTCTGTTATGCTTTTTTCGTATACCCCAACTACGTATTACTACCTTTTGAAGTGGGACTGATGGTATCAGTCTCACTTTTTAAAATGAAGTTTCCTATATTACATTTTTACTTTTAAAGATTTCCTGCTGTGCTTGTTTAACTTGACACTGAAAAACACCTATCATCATCGGCTTCCCTAATTTATTTATTTATTTATTTATTTATTTATTTATTTATTTATTTATTTATTTAT